TAGTTTTGATTTATGTTGCTAAATATTTCTGAGTTTATAGTACGTTAAATTAATGTTATTTCTAAGTTTTATGTTATATTTGCTTGTTATTATAAAATGTTAACTCAGTTTCTAGAACTGATTACAGAGTAAAGTATTTAGTAATGTAATTAATAAAGGAACATTCACAAGCTAACTAGTAAGGATCATTTGGCTTAATCAGCTGTGCTGTTTCATATCTTTTAGGATTAATATCAGTATGACATTGTGGAGATTGTTGAATTTTATTGAAATCATCAACTGGTTTAAGTAATAAAACCATTGAAAACCTGGAAGCACTGGAAAGTTGTTTAGTCCTATTAATGAACTACATATTGTCAGACAGGTATAAATGTAAACAAACAGATAAGTGGAGAGTTAGACGATGTGTAAATAGACTATCAGTCATCCTTCATTAAATCCCGTAGTGCTTTCATTTATGCAACATGTTCCATGAATAGATGGAGATAAATGATCTAAAAGATGAATTAACGATTGTTTTCATTTCAGTACAGTTAAAAACTGATTACAAGTGCAAGTCGAAACATTTTTTGTAGAAACTTGTATCAGGCATATTGTGCATAATCCATATTAGAATCCTTTCCATTCACTCTGTCATACATACAAAATAGTATTCAGATTATATTTTAAAAAATACTATTTTTTCAAAAAATACATGTATACTACTACTCAGATAGTATCATTTCTTTCTGGATGTATTCAACATTTATGTGTTTTCACAATGTACGGTCTCATTATTCACTTGATAATTCTTGAAATGTAATTTAGACTAAGTTAAATAGAATAAACCGAATAGCTTCATAGAATATGAAAAAAAATAAATACATTTTATTATTCATATTGTAGTAATTTTTAATAACTGAATCCATCAGTTGATTAAAGCTAGACTCCCACGGAAAACCTAGAAGCACTGAATGGCCATTTCGTTCTAGCCCAAAGGTTCTCGGTTCGAGTCCCACATGTGGTTATCATAAATGCGCACTGCTGAGGAGTCACACAATAGGATGAAACTGCCGTCCAGTGCTTCCGGGTCTTCCATCGTGGTCGAGCTTTAATCGACTAATAAATTCAACTATTAAAAATCTTGATAAGCCATTAAAACTAATTTTTGGGGGATATATTATTTCATTTGTTATTCGTTTATCGGTATTCGTGTATACATGTTTATGTTGATTATTATTGTCTACATCTTATCACAATGAAACATGAATTAACTTGTAAACAACATTGTTTCATATTGTCACACGTGTATAAAGACATGTTCCATACATACTACTTATAAGTGTTGTTTTATATTCTTTGAGTAATATAGAAAAACATTTTTTAAACTATTTATTTATTCTTTATAAGTAAAATATGAAAACATACAATGAACAAAATGTTTAATGCTTCTGTTTTGACTCAAAAGAATGTGAACATACGTTATTAAAGTTTGGAGGACAAAATGAAATTTAATAGAAGAGAAAGAGAATTGAAGATAAATGTAAAACAGAATAAGTTACATACATAATGGAACAATAAACACAGGAAATATTGAATTAGTAACAGAAATAAACGTTAAATTCATTTACTTGTGATTTATCTAATAGATTAAAAACTCATAATAATGATAATAGAATAAAGGAAGAATTGGTATATGTTATTTTCATAGTTGAAATCATGAGTCAGTTGAAGCTAGACCACCATGGAAAACCTAGAAGCACTAGACGACTGTTTCGTCCCATTGTCGGACTCTTCAGCAGTGTGTTTCCACGATCCCACCTCGCGAGATTCGAACCAAGGACCTACCAGTCTCGCGACAGAGCGCCTAATCACTAGACCATTGTATCTGTTACTTAATATTGTTTTTAAAATAACCACTCACACTTTGATGAACTTCATTCTAATAGACATTAAACTAAGGAAAATATCTGTCATATAGTTCAATAAATATTAAAAATAAGGTCTAGTTAACTGATTTATCTATTTAGATTTCACATAGTTGTCCATTTCTTAAACTTCGAAGCCATAGAGTTATGGATTAGATTTTAGAGAAGTTTATAGATACTGACAATACTGATTATAAGTATCAATAAGAAGGTTGAACTTGATAATTTTAAATAAATACTGATTATGTTCAGTTAAACACGAAATTCTATTGACAGTGAAAATAATTTCAAATATATACTACTGAAGTTACTTATATTTTCAGTGTAAAATACATAGGATATTTTATTCAGAAGGATTTATCTTCTTTAAGAGTCTTGAATTGTATCAACGGTTACGAAATGTTGGTTATTAATTCACTTAAATAAAGTGTAATCATTATAAGCAAACATGGATAGTGGCTAGTAATGGAATCCAGGATATGCGTTTCGTCCTATTTGGGACTAGTCAGCTGGATGTACCTGCAACTCAGAGTTCATGTTCACTCTAGGACTCGAACTCAGTACCACTCGCTTCAAACGCTATCAAGTTATCCACTCAGCTACTGACTCCTGATAGCCACTTGCTTGTGTAATGGTGTGAAGTTTAAATTCATTTAGTATTGTTTGTTTGAATCTTCACATTGATGTTTAGGAGTGCAGTTGATCAGTCTCTTTTTTAGCCATATGTGCACACCGTGTGTATTGCCTCGATATAACCTTAATTCACTAGCTTTATAAGCAAAGATGGATAGTGGCTAGCAGTAGAATCCAGGACGTGTGTTTCGTCCTATTTGGGACTCGTCAGCTGAATGTACCTGCACCTCAGAGTTCATGTTCACTCTAGGACTCGAACTCAGTACCACTCGCTTCAAACGCCATCGCGTTATCCACTTAGCTACTGAGTGTCTCCCTTGTTTTAAAGTAACATTAAAATAAATGTTCATGGTCCCTAGCATATATATGTCTAGTTTGTTTTTTTCATTCAGTGTTTTTTATTTATCCTGTTTTAAGCTACAATTCTAATCTCACCATCGTAAAATATGACATGTAAAGTATAATCTAATCACTAACCATCAGTTACTTTGAATGAGTTATTAGTTGCACAGAACATGACTTTTAATCTCTTTGAAGCGATGGACTTATCAACTGGATGTACCAGTTTTGACGTTCATATTCCGACACATATTTTTAAACTAGGAGTGATCAAAATGTCAGTCCCTTGTATTAAGAACGGAATAATTCAAAACCTTACTAATAATGATATAAATATCATACTCGTTGAACAAGTTAATGGCTATTTAAACTCAATAGTTCAGTGGATAACGTGTCAGAAATTTGAAGCTAACGATCTGAATGTTAAAATCTTCACCGGGTTGGCTGTACACTCGGTTGACAAGTCCTGATTAAGACAAGAAAACACCCTGAATTTCACTGCTATACACAAGTCATCTATTCGAAATAACTGGTGACATAATAGCCAATATAATCGAAGTAGTTGCACTAGATGTAAATATGTCAACGAAGATTGATCAAAATTTCATCCTGAATATTAGTAAACAGATGACTTAAATCATTACTAATAGTGGCATAAACTTATAATTAGGTTTCTTTCATGTCAATTGCTTTAGTTACTGGATAAAAACATATTATTGTCTAGTTATTAAGTTTCCTGCTATCCCATTAATAGCTGTTAGTGATTGATGAAAGTCAAACCACCGCTTATATGTACGATTCAGATTTGTTCCATATTTCGTGTACTGAAAAATCGTAAGCTCGTATCAAACTTCCTGAATGGATTCAGTACTATGATAAATGAATCATTTTAAAATTTATAGATTTCAATACAACTTTCTGCTTAGAAATCTACCATCAAGATTATCATGAGATATTCATGTGATCACTGTTAACTTGTAAATATAATTCAAGAAATTGAACCCATTCGTTAATTTCACTTGGTACTTTTCATAAACATTCTCTTAGTTGAATATTTTCATCATCGATCTTCATCATAAATCCAAAATTATCATTTTGTTACAACGGAAAAAAATATTCAAGTTCAATCAACTCATGTTATAAAATGATAATAACACACTCATATTAAGGTTTTGATTTAAATGTCTTTCATGAAACTGTAACACGTATATGATACAAGACTTTATACCATTTTAGACAATCTTCATTAATCACTTAAAAGTCTATACTATTCATTGATTAAAAACTATCCAGTAAATATCATTCATGAACAAAATAAATTTTCTTCATTCTCATGCTATGTAAGAGTATTTATGGTAACATGGTGGTTGGAGGTGGTCAACAGGAAACCCTGGACCCGGGTTTCGTGCTACTTGGCACTCGTCAGCAAGGTGTACCTGTAATCTTGAGGGAACTGATGCTCCATGACGGATTCGATCCCGTGTCACTCAGCACTAAGGACTTGACACACATGAGATTGATCACCACCCAGTGATCAATCAACTGTGATAATAGTAATTATGTTATTATTTTAAACAACTACTGACGAGTTCACTTGGTATTGTTGGTTTGAATCTTCCCATTGATGTTAGGACTGTAATTGATCAGTCTTTGATTCATCTTTGCTTATAATGCTTGTGAATTAGGTTATATCGAGGCAGTACGCACAGTATGCACATATACCAATAAGAGACTGATTAATTTCAGTCCTAAACATCAATGTGAATATTCAAACAAACAATACTAAGTGAACTTGAACTTCACATCATTGCACAAGCAAGTGGCTATCAGGACTCAGTACCTTAGTGGATAACTTGATAGCGTTTGAAGCGAATGGTACTGAGTTCGAGTCCCAGAGTGAACATCAACTCTGAGATGCAGGTACATCCAGCTGACTAGTCCCAAATAGGACGAAACACACGTCCTGGATTCCATTATTAGCCACTTTCCATATTTGCTTATCAACAGATGAGGTTTAGAATATTTTTGTAGTTTTATTACATCTTCAAAAGCTGATTTTTCATTCTTACAATTTTTGACGTCAACCTAGGTATACAACATGTAGTCATTATGAAGATCATATTCAGATTAACTTCAAACACTCTATTCATGAAAAATGCAAATTACAAAGTTCTATAAACGTAAAACATTAACACCAAGTTATAAGTTTTTTTTTTGATCATGAAATTCAAAGATTTTGTTGTCAAGTTATTAATTCTGTTTACATAAATCTACCCGTTGAAATTCTGTTAGTCTTAATATTGATTAAATATTACATGTATATATAGCATAATGAAATTTATAATTAGGAAACAAACTGTACATTTAAAGAAATTTTATGTCTAATCAAAAAGTATATACGTCAGGTAGAAATGAGCTTCGTACTAGACTTGATTATTTTTCCTGTAAGAGTGGGAGTATTTAAGATGGAATAAATTATTGTATATAGGATATATATATATCACTGGAAGATATTTCCGTGTTACATCGACACATGTATTTTAAGCATTTGAATAACATATTTGCAATTAGAAGTTGTTTCGGCTTATCAAATCCATGGTTGATCACATTTAAATTTATCACTGTTTTTCTGACTCAACAATAGAGTCAGTGTGTTTACTTCCGAAGTCCTTGCTTACTACTTTAATGAATCATCACTAAAAGATAAAAAAGGTAACAATGAATTATTGAAAGATGAGAAAACTACAATACTTTATTTTAATAATAAGAAATGACTTAATGTAGTTTAACTTTAGTGTTGAAGATAAAGCCAATCATGGTACAAATAATTATTGACAATTTTAGTTTTGTATATGCGTAGTAGTCAACCTCTACTCTGAATAAATATGAAATAATAGGTCCTAATGAAGTTCATTAACTTTTACTCTTGGAGAAAACCAGTTACGTCTTAATAATCCTACTGCTTCATGCATTCTAATGAAGTATTAAAAAAATGAATGTTTACTGTTCAAAACATGCCTTTTTTTGTTGTTATTACATAAACCAACGGTCAACTTACTTGGCGTAACAACCATGTGAAGGAAAGTTATTAAACACTGATACTTTAGCTTCACTAACGACCGACTGCTTTACACGGGGAAGTTCATTTGACATATATTGTAACCACCAGTAATAATAGTTTAATGCGGTTAGCGTTCTAGACATGTCTGTATTGTGACTGGTGTTATTGTCACAGTTATCATCGCCAACATCCTCTTCATCAGCATTCTCATTGTCATCATGATCATCAGCATCATCACAATTATCATGACATTTTCCCAGTATTGTTTCTTTTCTTTTGAAATCAGTTAAACGATGTTCTGAAGTGTCAGTGTATTTCTTCTCTGCATTAGTTTCATTATCGTTAGATTCATGCATTGTAGAACTTTCCGAATCCTGAAAGAGATACAGTCACGTCAAAAATGTAATACAGACATATAGAACTCATTGTAACTAAGCTATATTGTTTAAACATAGAAAAATTGTCTTTGTATAACCACATTATACGTTTATTGCGTATAATCGTTTTACAACAAATCAAGATTTCAGAGCGTTTCGGGATTTCCCATAACTATAAAGAATCAACAAGAAGTCCTAGGATTATGTTTATTTATATTGATCAGTAAAGGGTATTTTCAGAAAGGATAGATACTTTTAGTGCTTCACGTCAAAAACAATCCTCTTTAGAACTTGATCAACTAAAGTGAACAATCATTAAATTATAAAAACATCTAGCTCCCTAGTTCGTAATGCTATTGAGTCACTTAAACAACTAGTTACACCGTAACTTGTTCGGCGTATACCGATTAACCTTTATGAAAGAACACATGACTGAACTTGAAAGACTGGAGCACGACAGAACAATATTTATCTAACATTTAGTGGTTGACTTCAGTCAATAGGAAATCCCTTGTAGATCTGAGTTTGGCGCTCGTTAGCACTCATAACCAAACCCGTCTTAAATCTTGAATGAACCGATATTTTTCATGGAATGAAAATTAGTGCCAAACAATTCAACAGTCAGGGTGATAATACTAAGTCATTCGGGACCTAATTTATCTTCAAAAGACAGAGATATTTTTAGTAATTGCGAACTGAGTAGTGACTAGTGTCATATCGTCTAACCTTCTGGGAACGGTTATCATCAAATAATTCTACTTGAGGAAACTTTTAGAAGTAGAAGTTAGTATAAGTAACTTGTTTTAAGTAATTTCTAGATGGCTTAAACGGTTAATCAACATGTAACCAATTAGCTATTTAGCTTTTATCATTATACATCATTTGTATTTGTATTAATCTTGTTTTTAATTAGATCAGCCAAATGAATGGTTGTTCATCAAAAGTACTTATGTATTACACACAAAGATGATAAAGGTTTGGAAATGGGAAAAATTAGTCATTGTGTTAAGTTGTGTATTAATCAAGTAGCATTGTAAACTCAATGGATCTTAAACAAAATAAACTCACCGTTTTTATTTGTTCTACTGAGAAATTCAGAATTGTTGGCTTATTCAAGTTCTGTTTTTTTGAATATCCTAATGAAGTGAAAACATTAGGACACAGAGATTCATCAAAGAATTCTTCATCATTGCTGTAATAGTCATTTGTAGATGTTGATGGTCTAGCATTTCGAACAGTTTCCTTGACTGAATCTTGCGAAAATAATGTTTGAACTGGTAGACTGAATTTGTCACATCTTAAATATTCTGATGTATTCATATTCAATAAGGAGTAGGGGTGATGTTGACTCTGATCAAAATGATCATTTACCTTGGGCTTAATTTGTGAATCAAAAACATTTAGTGTTGGTTGAGATGAGTCCATTGAATGATGAACAGATTTCCAGTGATAATTCATCCCAATGAACTGATTTAAAAAGTACTGAAGTTTGAAATCAAATAACTGTTGGTACTCTGTTGACATAAATAAATAAATTTCACGTATCGTTAACATACTATTATTTAGACTGAAGTAAAACTTTGAGATATAGAAAAACACTTGGCCGGTGTATGTCTTATTCTACCAAATTATTCAGCTGAGGGCAACGAGTTATACATCGTTCAACTATGTTTTGCAGTAACTAGATAAAATCGCATATGAATTTAAAATAAATAAACACCTTGAAAACACTGATAGTTCTCAAAGTGTTCATCTGGAGTAAATCAAAAGGGACAATAATTGTACGTTTTATACAGACGGGGTCATAACTTGGCAGGTAATTATGTCTCTTCATAGTTTATACTTATAATACTTGAGTAATCAGTGACGAGTTTAGAATCATTTGAACCCTTACTACCGAAATATCAGTTAACTCTTTCATTATAATAAGAATCTGATTACCTAATTTATATCCAAATCTGGACTATTTTATTTAAACCTATTATCAACATCACTGTTGAATAGTGGGTTATGGCAATATTCAAATAATCTAATTTATTATCAATTGATTCAAAAAACCTAGATTTACTGGTAGTTTAAATAGTCAGGGATATAAACGACTTGTTTGACCCCAAGTACTTGTTCTTTTAAGTCATTCATAAGTCAATAAAGAATTTTATAGCGTTTTTAGGAAATAATTAGAAATTAGTAATGAAAACAATTATATTTTATTAGTTGAATTTGTTAGTTGATTTAAGCTAGACCACCATGGAAAACCTGAAGACACTAGACGGCCAGTTCATGCTATTATTGGACTCCTCATCAGTGATTCCACGATCCCGCATGTGGGACTCGAACCTCCGGTCTCGCATGCGAACGCTTCATACTTAATATATTCAAAAACTGAACGCCATCTCTTTTTAAAGCTTAGGTTATTATTATTATTCAAGTTAATATTGCTTGATTAGAGAGGAACCTGATTTCGCTTAAATAAGCACTATATATTTCTGTGAACATAAAAAGCAATTAAACTTACTTGATGTCTGATCAGAATTTTCTATCGTTTTTGATTCCTTAAATGAATTCACTCCTTCTTCTCCCAAAAAAGTTTCAGTGGAAAACTGATCAGTGTGAGTCATTATATTACCTGAAAAGATACGTGGTAAATCAATAGATGGAAAGGCTATATTTTCTACACCGTCATAGACAGATTTAAGCTCCGTCGATCCAGAAGAATTTTGTTCATGTTCTAATTTATTTTGGTGATTTGAAAATGCATATTTCATGAAAGACGAATAAACTGTCTCCAAGTGTCCAAAAACTTTTGATTTCAGTAGTTGAGGTAAAACTAATTCATATGAACTCATTAACGGGTAAGTGGAAATATTATTTTGAGAGTTGGGCCATAAAGTTTGTTCGACTTGAGACTGATTATTTCCACTGTTGTCATCATCGCTTGCACAGCTACGTGATTGTTTGGGAGTAGATTCGCCTGAATCATTGTTATGACAGGTACGTGATTTATGGGATCCAAGCACAGATGACAGACCAGGTGTTTCAATTCCTGATAAACGTTTTGATGGACGTCCAGGTCTAGAACTTCAAAGTAGAAAACTATAGTAAGATATTTATGTATTACAGAATGATTAAAAGGAAATTATAAAATTTGATCAGATTATCTTTCTGTACGTTCCAATTAATGTAAACAAACTATCCAGAGTTATCACCTTATAAATCTGAGCAAGCTGTTAGAAATATTGCCCAAAACGATTGAATTTTAGAACACAAACCGTTAGATTTCAACATAACAGATAACTGCTGCAATAAAAACATTGAGATTTGAAGGTCTTATGTTCGAATCGAGACAACTTTTACGAATTCACACTCCTGGAAAGTTTCAAAGGAAAAGAATAACTGTCATATGCTAACTGATCTCTAGTAATTCTTCAACTGAAGATAGTCTCTGATAAATATCCGTTTTTAAAGAAGTTAGTTTGAATAAAACGCTGTATAATACAATTCTGTTGTTCTACAAGATACCACGCATTATTATATAATCATGATAACGACGTGTTAGTCCACAGTTCATACATTAACACATATACTGTCAAATTAACTGAGATAGCATAAATTGGGAGTAAAAAATAAATAAGTTAACCTATTTCTATAGTGGTTTAGTTATCCGACACAAATATGAAGGTGATGGGAGATAACAGGGATACTACCCCTAACTCAGGGTCTGAAAAGTCGGAAAATGAAGATTTCGCAAATGCGATAAAAATGATCCTGGTGGTCTTGTTATAGTATTCTGACGAGACAGTGGGTTTTAGGTGTTCTTTGTGCTCTAATGCTTCAAGCTGGGCTATTTCGTTTACTACCCTAAATATGTGTTGTATGCAGTATAAGCTATATTGCCATGTAGAGCTGAAGGTCTCATATGAGACTGGAGGTTTACCATTGACATTGTGGATATATATATATATATATATATATATATATATATATATATATAAACCAATTTAACTATAATAATTATTATGTTGATGTTCTATCCGTTGTTGTTTTAAATGAACTCCAGTATGAATAATAGTTTATTGACAAAATACAACATAGATATTTTGTGAAAATTAAAGAAATGTTCTTTTTAGCTAAGTGGATAACGTGATGGCGTTTGGAGCGAATGGTATTGGGTTCGAGTCCTAGAGTGAACAGCAACTCTGGGATGAAAATACACCCAGTTCCAAATAGGACGAAATGAGCGTTCTGGATTCCACAGCTGACCACCATCTATCTTTGCTTATAAAACTTGTGACTTAATGGTGATATCGAATCCGTCCTCACAGGATGCATATATGTCGATAATAAACTGATTAATTGCAGTCCTAAAGAACAATGGAAAAATACAAGGAAACAATACCAAGTTCTTTGTTTTGTTTATCTGTAATAACTCATTGGGGGAATATTATGTCAGTGGGAAATTATAATAAATGAAAAATTTTTATTCATTAGACTTAAGCTGGTTACACAATTTCTATTTTACTTTTTTACTGGATAATTTACAGCTTCTGCCACTTAACTTCTTCTATGGTTATTCAATTTTTTTCTTTTTAATTGTTCAGCTATTTAACAATTTTCATAGTTGAAATCATGAGTGGATTGAAGCTAGACCATCATGGAAAACCTGGAAGCACTTGACGGCTGTTTCGTCCCATTATGAGACTCGTCAACTCACTGAAGACAATTGGTGAACGGTTGCTCAAACTTGGTGGATTGGTTGAATTTAGACATTAACACCGTTGGATGCCGGCTCACTGGTCTAGACGTTAAGTGCTCTGGCAAGAGACTAGTAGGTCCTGGGTTCGAATCTCGCGAGGTGGGATCGTGGATGCGCACTTCTGAGGAGTCCCATAATAGGATGAAACGGTCGTCCAGTGTTTTCAGGTTTTGCATGGTTGTCTTGCTTCAATCGACTGACGATTTCAACTATGAAAATACTGAAATCTTCATAAAACCCCTTCTGATCTATTTAACAATTGACAATTACAACATTTCTTCTTATCAAATTATTTCGTTTTATTCTCGATTTCTTTGTATCCAGTTATAATATCAATGTATCTCTTATCTTTTATTCTCTCTCTCCTCCTTTTGTCACTTTAATTTTCTCATAGAAAAGTCAAATTGTCTAGTGTCCATCATCATATATATATATATAACCAACACTAAATTGTTACTTTTCACTGGTGTTTTGTAAATGTATTCAGTTGAAAACAAACGAGGTTACAAGTTTATAAATAAATGATATTGAAACAATAATAATATGTAGAAGAAGGGATTACTGCCCACATATATATGCATATATATCCTCTTTCCTTCAACGGTTATGACTTTTTTTTTCTTTTCTGACAAAACCAGTTAAATCCTGTCAAAAATTATATTTTCACATTTCATACCATAAAATACGAATTATTTTTTTTTGTTTTTACAATTTTTACTACTGAAAATAAAATAAAATAAGTAAACTGTGAAATAATTTCAAAGAAATTTAGTCCGTTTTTATCTATTCACCTATCTGTTTACCTACTTATTTGTAAATGTATAAAGATTAACTAATATATATATATGTACATAATTATAGTGGGGATACAAACGCAATAGTATGGAACAGCTGATGAAATTCTCATCTATTTTGTATATATTATATTATTTATGAAACAGAACTAATCATTCATTCTATTACGGATTGAATACAATGAATTTTGAAAGATAAATAAAAAGAATTAACAATTTCAGAAGTGATGAATAAGTGAACTAGTGTGATAGTTTAATGTTGCCATAGTATTGAGTAAGGTAGAGACGGAAAGATAGGAAGCATTAATTTTCATGTTTCTTTATCTGCTAAAACGAATGAGCAAAATGAAACCTACGTTTTTCAACTTTAGTTCGTTATAATATTTTCATAATTAGATGATATTTAAGTGTGAATTCTATAATTGATTGATACCTGAATAAATATGACATTGGTTATTGTTCAGTGATTAATTAGTTGTAAAGATAACAGTTCTACAGGAGGTCATTCACGTCTCTAACAGATTAGTCGTAGAGACTAGAATTATGAAGCTAGGTGGAGCTGATATAAATTCCATATGAAATGTCAATTCCTTGAAGTTTATAGGTACGTTTTACTGATAGATGCTAACTAGTATAAAACATAAGTTCAGGATTTCTTGTCGGTTGACCTTATTCATCTAACATCTGAAAGAAGTGAACGTTTTACTGTTAATCATTGATAGAGATACAAAAGTGTTTAAAATATACTTAATTATACTCCTCGTATACTAGAAAATATTAAGAATATTAGTATATTTATGATTCAATTAATTTTTACTACGGTTATTCTCCATGTCAGGTATAGACAGGTATCTACCTCAGTACAATGGAAGTTGGTCGCGCAAATTCGTGGATTGGTTGAGGTTGGACATTAACACCGTTGGATGCCGGCTCACTGGTCTAGAGGTTAAGTGCTCTAGCGCGAGACTGGTAGGTCCTGGGTTCGAAACTCATGAGGCAGGATCGCGGATGCGCACTGTTGATGAGTCCCACAATAAGACGAAACGGTCGTCCAGTGCTTCCAGGTTTTCCATGGTGGTCTAGCTTCAATTGACTCATGATCTCAACTACATAATATTCTCAATAATACAAGATTTAATGTAAGAACCATACATCTTTATATGTTTTGCTAATTTATTAAGTAAGTATCATTACCAAGTTTTGACTTGATAATTTCGAATAAATTGAGCATTGTTATGAATAAAATTAATATATTTGTAATATCCCAATGAGTAGAAAAATTAAATTTTCTGACGTTTCGTGACTCAGTGTAAGCCACTTCTTCAGGGAATGATTCTCTGGGATATTACAAATATATTATTTTATTTATAATTTATCAGGTTTTTTTCGTGCGAATTTGCACATAAAATAGGGATGCATAATTTTGATATATAAAAAAACATTAAAATTGAACTTGATTAACATGAACTAAGTGAAATCTAATTAAATAACATTATAATTAGAAAGGGTTCTATGGACGAAACGGCCGTTTAGTGCTTCCATGTTTTCCTTGGTGGTCTAGCTTCAATCGACTCATGATTTCAACTATAAATAACACTAGTTTGTATTAAAGAACTGAAATCAAATTTGATGGATATTTTTAATCAAAAGGCATTATGTCGATGAATAATTAATCATTCTACTCATTTTTTGAGCTCACAATAATGACAAGATCCTGTTATTCCATGATATTATTGACTAAAACAAGTTATAAAATCTTTACAGTTACCTAATTTTACCAAATCTAACAAACAGGTATCGTGAGTCAATTGAAGCTAGACCACCATCGAAAACCTGGAAGCACTGGACGGCCATTTCGTCCTATTATGGAACTCCTCAGAAGTGCGCATCCACGATCCTGCACTCGCGAGACTCGAACCCAGGACCTATCAGTCTCGAGCCAGAGCCCTTAACCGATAGACCACTGAGCCGATATCCAACGGTGTTAATATCTAACTTCAACCAATCCACGATATTGAGCGACCGTTCACCAATTGTCTTCAGTGAGATGATATCTCTACAACAGACCTGGTAGAACTCCACTGGCCACTGCTTCGTACTATAACTCAAGGAAATGTCTTTTGAAGTCGGTTACTACTGAGCATATGATTATAGATGAGAGAGGGTTTTGTGGAGAATTTAGTATTTTCACAGTTGAAATCATCAGTCAATTGAATTTTATTGTATATCATGCTATCAGTATTCATATTATTAAGTGGATATTATATTTTCATGTCCTAAGGTATCAATATACAGATGATCTCAAATGTTATGTATATTCATTAGAAGGGGTTTTGTGGAGATTTAGCATTTTTATAGTTGAAAGCGTGAGCATGAGTTGAAAGCTTCAATAGACTCACGCATTCAAATATATATTCATGTTTCTTATTCTTATTTAAGTAAGAAATCTCACAAAATTAATGTTTATAACATTTAATATCAGTAGGGGTTTTGTGAATAATAAAGTAATTTTAATAGTTGAAATCTCAAGTCAATTGAAGTTAGACTATCGTAGATGTGCACTGCTGAAGAAGCCCACAATAAGACGAAACGGTCATCTAGTGTTTATAACATTTCTTGCTTGTTTTTATTGACCTTACTGCTAAAACTAACTCATAACTGTATAGTGACAATAAATTTCATATATCTATAAGCAACTTATAACATAGAATCATTATGAAAACAAAATGATCCATTTGACAATGATTAATCGGTTGAAAGATTTAGTAAGAAATTTATATATCTAAATTATATAATAGGATAGGTTGAATAGTAGAATAGATTTCTCAACTTTGTTTACAATAATGTTTTATTCTCATTTATAATTTATAATTAAATTTTTTATAGAAAAAAAAACAAAAAGAAAAAACGAAAAAGAAAAAAGAAAAAAAAGGAAAGTAAACGTTTTATAAGATTAATTCGTTTTAGTTGGGTTTTTTTTACTTTTTAAAAGGAACTATTCCTATATTGAATATTATACACTGTCATTTTAGCCTTGTAATGTATAGATAGATAGATAAATAGATATATACCTATATAACATGAAAGAAATTTAACTTTTCTAAATATCATTGTTCATTTCATTTCGTATGCATGAAAAGGAACAATAAATCCAGTATTTAAGGGGGAAAAAAGAGAGAGAAAAAAAGAAAAAAAAAGAAGAAATATAATCATAATAATATATTTAAACAAATAGAAAATATGTTTGTATGTATTAGAATATCATAGATAAAAAAGAAAAGAAGAAATTTTTTTTAAAAAAAACACGAACAAAACAGGAAATTAAATGATAATAATAATAATAATATTTTACTTTCATATGACCTTAACTAACACCTTATGATTTAAATGTTTAAAAGAAATGAGATAAACTAACTAGGAAGAAAATTCTAGAAAAGTTATTAATGATATATGTATATATTACTTATTTATATATTTCATTATATCAGGTATTCTATGAAATAATATATCATTCAACAGTTTTAAAAAAAATTTTAAAAAGAACGTTTTTCTGTGTTTAACAGTCATTTACAAAATTTTTCTAACCTATGAGATAATAAAAGATGGATAGTGGTTAGTAGTGGAATGCTGGAGATGCGTTTCGTCCTATTTGGGATTAGTCAGCTTGATGTATTTGCATCTCAGAGTTGATATTTTACTCTGGGACTCGAACCTAGTGCCGTTCGCTTCAAAACGCTATTGTGTTATCCACTTAGCTATTGAGTTCTGATAGCCACTTGCTAGTACAATGGGGTGAGTTTTTAAATTAAATTGGGAAGATACAAGTAAACAACACTAAGTGAATTTATCCGATAATAAATTGACAAACTTATTTATTGGTTAGAATTATAACTTACAGTAAATACTTAAGTTCTGTTTCGAATGTGTAATTTGATGGAAGTAATAAATGTTGTTTATGAATGATATAAGTAACTGATGTCTATTCATAGGTAAATTTTAAAAAAGGATAACCGATACTTATCACTCGGGTTTAATTTGTTGATTTATTTTCATAGTTACGAAACTTCTCTATGATTCTTGAGAATAAGTTTCATTCTGAAAGATTATCAGTCAAAGAACAGTTGAAAACCAAATAGTATTGACCAGTTGTTTCGTTCTTATTTAGAGACCATTAAGAAGTGCTCTGTAAATACCACATGTGAAATTAAAATCAAGACCATCAGATTTTGAAACAAGTTTAACAATACAGAACTACTTAGTTGGAATCTATATTGACAATTATAGTCTATTCATAGTGTCGTAGAATCACCATCTGAAATGATCAGTGACTTCATATCTGAATAGTGATTTGATTAACTCTAAGGAGAATGGCTATTAACTGTGACTAAGTGAAACATATTACAAACCTAGTCAAAAACAGCATATCATTATCTTTAAATCTATTATATTATCCAGCCATATAACACAGATTTTTAATGAAAACATTCTTTTAACAAAATGAAACAATGATTCTAGATAAAACGGTTCAAATCCACATATGTAAAACGTTGTTTCAGGTTCCATAAAAAAAGAGAGAATAAACATATCTTTATTATCAAATTAAAAAGTAATATCAGCAAATACTGTTAAAACATCAATTCAGACTTTCAAATCTTATTTCAACAGTTGTTATAAACTATCATAATGAAACATAATAAGTAAATAACCAAACGAGAGCCTATATTTATTGTAAAAAATATTTCAGTAGTTGAGATCATGAGTCAACTGAAGCTAGACCACCATGGAAAACGAGGAACACTGGACGGCCGTTTCGTCGTATTGTGGGACTCCTTAGCAGTGCGCATCCACAATTCCGCCTCGCAAGATTCGAACCCAAGACCTATCAGTCTCACGCCAGAACACTTAACCGATAGACCACTGATTCGGCCGGTATCCAACGGTGTTAATGTCTAAATTCAGCCAATCCACGAAGTTTGAGCAACCGTTCACCAATTGTCTTCAGTGAGTTGAGGAGTCTCATAATTAGACGAAACGGCCGTTCACTGTTTCCAGGTTTTCCATGGTGGTCTAGCTTCAATTGACTGATGATTTAAACTATATATAAAGAAATACTTTTAATTTGGTGTGCTTTTCTGTATCGATTAAATACTGATGAAGATTAAATGCTGAATTAATTTACATAAAGACAGTTACTGATTATTTTCAAGTGTTATTAATTTTATGTTTTACTTCTTAATCAAAAAACTTATTTAACAATACACCATGTAGATGAAAACTAATGCATTCTATATGAGAACTCAATGAATCTATTTAACAGTACATATAGTACACACTTGATAGTTTATACCACTCTTTCATCTAGTACTCTCATACCTAAGTATGACTTTTCATAACACAACTAGACTGATCTCTTTTTTTCTGTTTAAATGATATTATAATAATAGAAAGATTTCTGTTTACTGACTTATTAGTTCTAAACACTTCTGGTATAAATGTAGCTAGAAATTTAACAACATATATAATACACTACACATCTCATATAAACATCTATCATTTCCATAGTGTTACTTCACCTGGAATCCGTATGTAGATAAAGCTGACTGCAGTATAATAAACCAAATATGAGATGAGTTTTTCCCCTATACTTGAAGTAATATTAATCCGACACCATGAAGATTATTTTCATCATTAGCAGGAAAACTAAAGAAAATCTGGAAGGAATAGAGAATGTCTTGTCATCACATTTAATCATAGTTACGTCATTGAACAATGAATACTGGATGAAGAAAAATAAATTATATTTCTGATGATATCTTACCCTATGTTGGTCACTACTTATGTAATATAATTTCCCTATATTATCTTTAATATTCATCAAATTATAAAAAAAAATTCTCTTATAATACACTAAGTTTACACAATGGTTATAGAAAGATTGGTCCTATACTTGGAAAGAATCTAATTACTCACAAATAGGAAATTTATTTTTCACTGTTCCCAAACAATAAATTTTGCGAAAAATGGATTGTTAAAATTCAGTCTTTAATTCAACTACTAAAACAAAATAATAAATATTATCCATTGTAATGATATCCATGGGCTATTAATAAAATTATTAAAATCTGATCTTTAAATTTCACTCCAAAATCCTACTTGCGAATTCAGTAAACTATTGACGCATAGTTCTCAATATATAGACTCGGTGATAGAGTGATAAAATTTAATGAAACAGTATCCAGTATATAAAATCATGACATCAACTGTCAATCAAAACCAAAAAAATAATTTCCAACACAAATGTCAAAACAGTTCTACTGTATGGAGGAGAAACTTGGGGAACTATCAAAGCCATCATCCAGAAGATACAAGTGTTTATTAACAGTTGTCTACGCAAAATACTTCGTATCCGTTGGCCAGAAACTATCAGCAACATTTTACTGTGGGAGAGAATAAACCAGATTCCATGCAGCGGAGAAAGAAATCAGGAAGAAGTTCTGGAAGTGGACAGGACACACATTGAGGGAAGCACCCAACTGCATCACAAGGCAATCCCTCATTTGGAATCCTAAAGGTCAAAGGAGACGAGGAAGACCAAAGAACACAGTACGCCGAGAAATAGAGACAGACATGAGAAGAATGAACAAGAACTGGATAGAACTAGAAAAGAAGGCCCAGGACAGAGTGGGTTGGAGAAAGCTGGTCGGCGGCCTATGCTCCATTGGGAGTAACAGGCGTAAGTAAGTAAGTAATATAAAAAAAGTCATATAAAAATGTATGCTCTAATAAAATATGTTGTACATCATTGATAAAAAAATATATGGAATGAAAAATGTACTCATTTAAAAAAAAGATTGTCCAAAACTTGATTTATATTACCTTGAATTTGTACAATCAGCATAGAGTATATCAAATTCTTGTGGTGCAATTAATTTACATCGATTAACACCTGGTTGTATTGCACCTAAACCTCTTAATATACGTACTTGTTCAACATTACATACAACTGGAATAATATCTAAACGTTTCAATTTTGTATAAACTGTATGTAAACCACCAACTAAATGTTTTAAAAATAATTCAAATGCTTGTGGTAAACAAATTAAATCACGTCCATTCACTGTGAATGTTGCTAAATGAGCACCACGATATTCTAAAAAGTGTACTTGATTATTTTCTGGTAAATTTGGTACTGGATTTGGTGTACAATAAGCTAATGATTTAGCTGATGATGATGATAATAATAATAATTGATTATTTTCATTTGTATTAGTATTATCATTATTGTTGTTATTATTAAGAAATGATGATGATGATGACGATGATGATGAATGATAATTGGACTGATGTAATTTCAACGTTAACAAATTATCAAAACTCCATGAATCTTTTGATGAAATTTTACTTGATAAATCCATGATATCTGATGATCGTTTATCTTCTGTGTTTAATAAATCTTTATAATGAGTTAATTTGTCTAACATCTCTTTCTTCTAAATATATATATATATATGTATGTATCAACTTGCTTATTTCAATGTGTTCAGGTGAACTATTTCAATTGAAGGAATGTAAGGATCGGATAGAAACAAGTCAATAGATTACGAATTGCAGGATTAATTCTGTTTCAGTATTTTTCTCTCTCTAATTTCTAGATACTACTTTTTATGTTCTAAAACTTAGAGTAACAAAATGTGAGTGATACAATTGAATTTTCCTGTGTGCTTTTTTTTTCTTCGTTGAACTCTCTAGTTATTTAGTTAATAGTAGTATGTAACTAGACAACGGAATAGTTAATCATATAACAGATTGAATAAACGGGAAATATGTTCATTTCATATTTAACTTCCCTTTTACAATAATGTTAGAGTATTGTATGTCTATTTATGTTTCCCATTGATTATCTTTCCTTCTATTTTTTTTGTTTGTTTTTGACTTTACACCATCAAGTCATATGAAGTTGAAGAAGCATAGAAATCATGAAATTCTACAAATGAAAATGAGAATACTTTTAAAGTTTTTTTTTATTACTACTCTATTTGTTTCATTTCTATCCCCCATATTCAAATAATACGTCTAGTATTCTTTCATATTGTGTTTGTACAACAATTAAAACACTTACATACATTCATAGGTTAGAATACTAATAGTAGTCTTTCTAAATATATATAAATGAAATGGTAAACTGATTATTTCTGTACCAAATACATCTCTTCTCTTATATAGAATAATTCTTTTGTTGGATGGAAAATAATAAGGAATGAGTTTTGATTGCTTTATTTCTTAATGATTAAACTATAGGCTTATACTACTTATATTGATAAGAGGTATATAGATATATTCATTAACAAAGTGTCAGATATGTACGATTTTAACATTCACTATGCGTGCGTGTGTGTGTGTGTAAATTGTATCCGAGACTTATTTACTCTTTCATTTTATCATGACTGATATGTAACTATATTTCTCTACTTATTTGAATTATCCAATCAATTGACTTTTAAGGATAGAAAAACTGAAAATTCAGTCTCTCTTTCCATATTTATATTTTATAGATGCGATTAATTACTGGTATGCACTCATTGTTCTTGTTACATATATATCTAATCACGTTTTCCTTTTATCTATTCTCATTTATTTTCTTTTTTTTAAGAAGGGAGAAAATGTAAAATTCTATTATATTCCTTCTGTATGCATAGCTCAGGTTTCTTCATTATAACTGAGTTGATTCGTGCATAGTTTACTTATAGTAATTATTAATTTTTTATTTTATCAATTCATTTTATCCTTTACTGTAAAAGTATAATTGATAAATAATAATAGTTGACTTGATATAGTTCATACTACTAACATACAAGTATATAAGTTTTTCCATTATATTTCAATTATCTTTGTAATATTTAGTATTCAACCTTAACCAAACTCGTTAATACTTTAGTTAATCATTGGAGTTATAAAATACTAAAATACTGAAATGGTTAACAAAACAGAAATGCTCAGTATGAAGTTTGGATGATATCATGAACAAACCTCAGTGGTTCTAGAGGTTAGGCGCTCACGCGTGAGACTAATAGGTCCTGGCAGGATCGTTCAGTGCTTCCAGGTTTTCTATGGTGGTCTACCATCAACTGACTCATGATTTCAACTACATAACCTAGATACATTTGAGCTAGTAATTGATCTGTAATTATTGTCTTACACTGTCAAAATTGTGACCGAAAATCACTCTATATGTAAGCTATATATTCTTAACCACTAATTACCTTGCATAAACCTTTCATGTTTGTCTTTGACTGGCACCATTCTTAATTTGTACAATCATTTTACTCAATTCACATTAATTTTTTTATCATAACTATCTAAACAACATTCCTCTTATTAAGTATTGTATTCACACAACATTATTACTACTTAATCCTTACTATTATCTCAGAAAAACCGATATAGCATTTTTCTTATTATGGATGTGATTGATCGTATTATATTAATTGAAACTTGACATATCACAAAGGAATTCCTTATTCTCTTCTTAAAGAACCTTTCAAATTTACAGGTAATACATTTTGAATGTCTTCAAGCCACAGACAAAAGTAAAAGCTCATTATTGTTGTTCAATTCCCTTATTTAATGATTGTAATACAACAATCATAGAATAATAAATTTAGATTATGTTAATGATATCATGGAAAATAATCAAACTTTCAAATAGTCTTGGTTTTTGAATACTTTTAAAATGACTAAAACCTTAATATCTTGTTTTAGAATGATGAATAATACTTGGATGTTTTTCTATATAATAACTTATTATCTATAATACATATATTCAGCCTGGTCCAATATCTTCGACGGGTCAGCTCGAAGTTAAAGTCCCAAATATCATACTTATATATATATATATATATATATATATATATATATATGTCGTGCTTACAGACATACTTCACATATTATGATTTACATATCCAAGTATTCTTCCACCAACAAACCACTTTACTTAACTAGACTTTCTAAGAGTTTAACGATTCCTATAGAATGTATCATTGACTTTAATTGAGAAAGTTACTTGTCAAATTTTATATTAGTAATTATGATTACCGAACTGTCTTAAAATCTATTCTAGTTATTAGTTATAGTACGCAATTCATATATAGAATTCATTTATTACTATCTAACATTGTATACTATACCTTTCTAACTATTTTACATAATAGATTACCTTTCCTCCCCCCCAAAAAAAGAGAAAAAAATTAGAAAACTTGACAATCAAAGTATACTAAAATTTATAAATAATAAACATTAAATTAAATTAATCTATTCAAAAAGAAAGTACATACAGAAGGAGAAATGAAAGAGAAATAAGTTTAATTTATTTCCACGTCATCAACAATAGTAATTCTTTTACAGTTTAATCAACTGGAAGTAACAGGATTTTTAGCCTGAAGGATGATTGCATACATATATATGTTTATCAGAAAGGAGAATTCTATTTGGTATACCATTGTTATAGGATATAAAATAAATAATGATATAAGAGAAGAAAATATGAGAAAAGAAAAGAAAAAGAATACAATCATTGGAAGTGGTGAACAAATGAAGGAGAATAAAGGAGATAGATCATTTCTGTTACATTTCATTATCGTTAAAATATTTACATCCAAATGAAATTACCTGACCAACCATACACTATGGTTATGTAAGTCTCATTTTTTTCATATATCTTAATGAAAATGTTGTAAACATAAAAATGTGATTAGTAAATCTACTGGTCTATATTTAAACAGTTTTTAATGGAATGAGATATGGTAGTGAGTTTGCTAAAATTTCGAAAGACTTCGCTAAGTCATCATCTATATATTTGAGATGTACTGTTGTAGAACTGTTTCACACAAGGTTCTTTTCATTATTTTCGAAATAATTCTGGTATTGGATGTTTGATGTCATCCGCAGTGTTTTCAATGTTCAATAATTGTATATAGTTGAGATCATGAGACAATTGAAGCTAGACCACCATGGAAAACCTGGAAGCACTGGATGGCCGGTTAAGTGCTCGCGCGCGAGAATGATAGGTCCTGGATCCGAATTTCATGAGGCGGGATCGTGGGTGTGCACTGCTAAGGAGTACCACAATAAGACGAAACGGCCGTACAGTGGTGGTCTAGCTTCAATTGACTCATGATCTCAACTATATAAAATTACTAAAATCTCCACAAAACCTCCTTCTGATGATATTCAATAATTGTGTTTGGTCAGTTTTGCATTTGCTTAGTAGATGTATGCCATATGTCAGTGTGTGGTTATCATTAAAGATTTAGTTAGTTATACTGGAATGTGAAAATTGAGAGAAACAGAAAAATTGGATTAAGTTCAAAAGTCAGATGGGTCTAAGTAAGTGAACGAGAAACAATAAAGTTGTTATGAGTTTATAAAATGATAAAAACCAAAGTTAGGAAAAAGTGATATTTTAAGGTAATTTTCCTTTGTCTTATTTAAAGAATAATTCTTGAGTAAAATAAGACATAAAATAAAGATTCACAAAATAAGCGCTAATTTATTTGTAAAGGTTGTTTGAAATTTTAAGTTGACGTTAAGGACTGGAATCGATTGGTCTCTTTTAGACTTATCCTGGATAGACTGTTGCAACATTGACAATAAATCACGATGATATAAGGCAGAGCTGAATGATAGTTAACACTAGAATCAAGGAGCTTCCTATTGTCTTATTTGGCATTCCTCATTCGAGTATATCTGCATATCAATGTTGATGTCTATATTGGAACTCAAACCCTGTCACTTTCTCTTCATGCACTACGCACTGTCCGCTAAAGTAACGAGTCCAGATAATTTATGTTTTCCTATCGGCGATATTAAGAAAATGTGATTAAATTATATCAGCACAATCTTTTTAGGATGAATATGTATCAATAAAGACTGAGCAATTCCAGCTCTTAACATCAACAACGGAAGAATACAATATCAGGATTTTGAAATACATTAATAACATATTTTTCTCGAAGGTTATTTATCAAATCTAAAGGTTTAATGTTTTTCCAATCCCTTGACTAACAACCATTTCTCTATTATAATTAATAAAAAAACTGAAAAATTAAAAAAATTTCATCCATTTTAAGTAAAATAATTCGGTGAAAAAAATTTTATGTTTCATAGGTCAATGAACAACCATAAAGAAATATAGAGAAGAGTAATTATATCACAACATTATCGTCTTATTTCATTATTGTACTTTCAACTATACTACTTATATCCCATTCTCAATTAACATAACAGTAATAATAATCGTAATCATCGAAAAAAATTTTTTTTTAAAAAAAACAGAAAAGTTTACGGATTTCCTTTTTAATTTCATGATTGTTAAAGTTTACTTTTATTTCTACTCGAAAATAATCAAAATAGTTAACTTTAAATGAATGAATGAATGAATTGGTGCATGCAATCCACATGATAACAAAACAAGGATACTTTACACTAAGTAACACAATAAAATATTTAATCAAAGTAAGAATTCAAATTTTCTCCCAGTATCTTTCTCCTTACCCCTCCAAATGTATATATATATATATATATATATACATATACACAATAATGCTATTGACCATTGTCACTCATCAATTTCTTTTTTGTCTATATGCGTGTTAGTGTTGTAAATATCTTATAACAGACATTTTTATCTTTTACCTACACATAACTAATCGTTTCCGGTTCTATAATAATAATCATCTTAACTTGTGTGTTTCTATTAGGCTTCCGTTATTATTATTATTTTTGTTTAGCAATGTTTTAATTGTACGGAAGTTTATGTATGCTTTACTTCAGTTTGTAAATTTAATAACTGTTAAATATACAACCAGTTATATTGTAAGAAGAAAGTTTCTACATCTATACATTTTGAAGCGAAAGGTACTGGGTTCAAAACCCAGAGTGAAT